TTGTAGAATTTTGAACTAAATTGATCAAAATAGGCTTTAACTGGAAGTTGTTGGCTTAACATCAAGGGTTATAATGCTCCCAGCATCACCTTCGATAGTGGGTGTCACATAATCCTGAATCATCCTCCTTTCTGCCATCTTTTTCTTTCTATACTCTTTTCATAGCCTACATGTAATTTTTTTTTATTTCAAGGTCAAATACAAATTCTACAAGAGACTTAGATTAAGTGAGCATAAAACAAAGGAAATAAAAAATATAAAAATATTTAAATCAATTAAATACTAGATTTTCTTTAATATTGAAAAACTAATCTTCAGTAACAGCGCCAAAAACTTGTTCTTTGGCAAGTGTACCTATCAAAAAAGTAATAAAAGGTTTTAAAAGAAGTTTTTCAAGTTATTATCCCATAGAGATTATTTCCAAGTACTAAGAATATATTGATTTAATTGTTTAAACTAAATGAATATGTGATGAATTAAAAGCAAGAAGAATTTGAATTCAAATAACAATTAAAAAGACAATAATGTAATTCTTGATAGAAACTGGATGAAATGAGCCTAGGGAATATGGTTTCACCTATTACACCTTTCTATATTTTTCTTTAATCTAATTCTCATATTGGTTTCCCTATGTTTGCCAACCACTCACTCTTATTCTATTAACTCCCAATGATCATACAATATTAATATTTTTTTCTAAGTGATTATCCTCAATGATCATACAAGGAAAAAGGTAGAGAAAGCATAAAGATCTTATGAGATTGTTAATTTAATAATAGTTGGAAGAGAAAGACTAAACATTTGTTTCGTTTTATCCTATAGTTTCATTAATTACATGTGGTATGGTGGCTTACGATACAGTTAATTATAAGATCAGTTCTTAACATGAAAAATATAGTTCAATAAGATAAAAGTCAAACATTAACAAGAAACCAACATTTTCATTAAATATTAAAATCACATAGAGTATGCAATAGGATCTACCATAGCCCTAACTTTAGAGTTAGATACTCATAGTAAAGCAAACAATGAAAACCATAGTAACCAAATCTATAAATGTTCAAAAGGAGAATTCAAACTATAGAATCCCAAAAAAGAAAGAAGATGAAACAAGTTTACATTCTCCAAAAGGCGATCAACCACTTGCTCAAACTCTGAAGGAATGTTTATTGTCTTTACTAATGATTTTTTACTCTTTAATAACACTCAATGGTTGATTAAGTCAATATGCAGAAGATGATTTTCTTAGGAGCATAAGGCCTCTTTATGTATAAGGTGTAGACTGGGAGAAAAGATTGTGAATTAGCCTCCAAGAGATATGAATCTAGATTCAAATTTTGAATTTAAAAATTAAATTCATAATTTGAACTCAGATTTCTTTAACACAATCGTACATAGCCTCCAATACAACTGTGCTTAAGGCTCCAAAGTACACCTAGATCAGATTACGAAGTAAGGTTGTGCTTGCTTATAGCATGGTTCTGCTGTCAAGTGAAATCATTCAATTTTTGTTCAAAATATTTTTATATCACAGTAATAACTGCTTCAAGTTAAACTGTAATAATTAATAGCAGTATAAAATATCCATAATATAAGATTTAAGTGTATAATTATAAGTTATAAAATATGTTAAAAATAATTAATAGAGATACACATTGATTAGATTACAAATAGATTATGATGACATGCATGAACCTAATGTGGTGATGTACTAAGAACTAAAATAAGAAAAGTCATGATTTTAAACAAATCAATCATCCAAAATATGATTGATAAAGTAAAGAATTCAATAGTTTATTTTTTAGTAACAATCTTAGAGAATAATGCAGAGTCTATTTTATATCTTGTATAAATTAAAAGAAAAATTTTATAACTTTATACAACAAATAATAATATAACTAGGGATGACAATGGGTAAAGTACTCGATAGGCACCTGTAAAATTTACCCACAATGGGTAGGGTATTTACCGCTATATGGGTACGGGTATGGGTGTGGATAAAAACTCATAAATTTTAATGGGGATGGGTGCGGGTATGGGCATCTAAGTACCCGTATATATATATATATATATATATATATATATATATATATATATTAATGTTTATATCTACGCGGGTATGAAGTCAGATACGAATATTTTTTTAAAACACAAATATTGAGTTTAAAATGCGAGTATGGGATGGGTATATAGTACCTACTCATTGTCATCCCTAAATATAACATGATATTATTGGTGTTATATATACGACTATGATACACCAGTTTTAAAGTGATACATGTTAAAATTCACTAATATTTGCACATATTTGTTCAATAATATATATATATATATATATATATATATTTTCCTTACTTCTAAATAATGCACATCGCAAAAAAAAATAAAAAATAAATGTATCGTCCCCCAAAATGAGAAGGAAAAAAAAAAAAAAAAGGAACTGGTGATAGGTGATAGATGACGACGATTGTTTTCAAAGAGCATAATGACGTGCAACTACATATCATTAAAGATTTGAAAATGAATTTTTGAATGTAGACGATTTCATAAAAAGGAACTTATAAATATCTTAATAATATTAATATTCATTTAACATTCATTTTTAATTTATTTTTTTATTATATTATATCATATCATCTATTATATTTGTCTTTATTTATTAATTTATTTTATATCTCTTTGGTTACATACGCCTGATGGTATAAGAACCATTTTCCACTCAAATAAATTTCCCACATTTTTAATGAAATTTTTACAATGATTTGATTGTGGAGGGCATTTCATTCCCATCAACGTGTGTCCATGTACAAACATTTCGAACTGTGGCTCAAATTTCAAAAACAAAGACGTTACGTGTGGGCGGACAGAGAAGCAGAGGTACCCAGATATTTTGTGTTTTGATTGAGGCTTTGTCTGCATGATTGGCGGAAAAAGAAGAAAAATGATTGAAGGGATAAAAGAGAGAGAATAAAATGGAACGGAAGAAGAGTTAAATTTTTATTTTAATTAGATGTTTATAATATATAGAAAAGGGGGTGATAAAAATTTAATAATATATTTATATTATTTATTTATATATTTAAATAATTAAAAAATTAAATATTTGTTTTAAAAATTAATATTTTTATATTTTATAAGGATAAAAAAATTCTTATTTTAAAAATTAATATTTTAAAAAAATTAATCAAAAAAGGATAAGAAAGAGAAAAAATCTCAAATAAAAAAATTAAAAAAAAAGTTTTTGTGCCTCAGATTACTTCTATTTTTTATCGTGTGTTTTTAATTTCAATTACAAAATTGCTATTTTATTTTTATAGATTTCAATATATTTTTTAAATTTTGTTAACGTCAACTCTTAAAATTAAGAATAAACGATTAATAATAATAAAATTTTATTAAAAAAATATTTATTATATTTTTATAATTTCAATACCATAATTATATATTATTTTCATACAAATTTTTTATTTGTAGATGCTTAAGTTTAGTCTTAATAACTAAAGTTAACAAAATTCATATTTTTTATCTCTATAAATATTAGATGTTTTGTAATAAATTTTATAAAATTTTTATTAAAATTTAATCTTGAAACATTAAAAAATTAATATTTAATCTTTATCGTTAATTCTCTTCTTTTAAGCATTGAACTAGTAAATAAAAAGCTAATTAAGTAATGCTACAGACATCAAGTAATTTACTAAATCATTTAAATTTTTATATTTAATTAATTAAAACATTTACATATAAATCACTTAATACATTTTACATAAAATACAAATAAATTTATCTTCCTTTTTGTATCTTTATTCTTTTTATTATCTCACTCCCTCCCCCTTTTCATACCTCCATTCCCACTCTACTCTCTCCTTTTTCCCTTTTCCTTCATATTTCTACTTTTACCGTCTTTTCTCTTAAACAACAACTCTTCCTCCTATCACAATTTCATCTCTATCCCTTCTTTTAAATTACAACTTCACCTCTAAATCATTACCCACTCTGCTATTTCACCCCTACCACACTACTTTATTTAACTTTAATTTTAATTTTTACTCTCACACAATATTTATTATTAATATATTATACTTTTATGTTTAGTAAAACTGTGTTGAGTTCACCAAAATTTTTATATTTGGACAAATTTAAGATCATCACCACATCTAAGATTATCTACTAAAAAAAAAGAGTAAAGTTAATGACATCAACGGTGTAAGGGCTCCTTCTAGTTCTTTCTTATGCTTTCTTGGATGCATTTTTATATTATGGATTTTTACGTCTCTTTCAAGAAAACTGGATCAATTACAGGTATCTTTGCTTCAATTTCCTATTATTTTACAGCACCCTACCTCCAAATTTTTCTGTTTTTGAGTCCCAATATCTTTTTGGGGGCCTTGCATTGTTAGGCAAAAAAGAGTTATAAGTTAGATATATGTCGGGAATTCCCAAATGCATTAGCTGTAACGTGGTGAGGGGAGGGTCGCTGAAGAAGAAAGGAAAAAATAAAAGGGATTTTAAAATTTAAAATATATTCAGAGACTTTTTTTAAAATAATTATTTTAAAAAATAAAATATTAAAAACTTAAATGATGCAGTATGTTATGTAGTTTCATGCAAAAGTGTTAAACTCACTTAATCCATCACTAAAACATAGGATCAGCCAGCTCAATATTTAATAAAAAATAATTGACAGTAAAAATTAAATTTTAAATTTTAACTTTTTATGATTAAATTTTATAAAAAAAAATTATAATGACTTATTATAGAATATCTAATGTTTATAAGAATTAAAAATATAATTAAATTTACTTTTATTTTAAAATTTTGTACAGTAAAGTAAAGTAGAAAAAAATAATATTTCTTGTATAACTATTTTAAAAAAATAAAAACAAAATAACATGAAGTAACAATTTTATCATATAAATAGAAAAACAGAAGATACAATTTGTAACTAAACAAAATCAATTGTTTCTTCGAACGCTCAAACAAAGGGATCCTTGTAAGGGATGGATTTACCATCCGAAATCAAGAAGCCACATGCTCTCCTGATGCCATTTCCAACACAAGGTCACATAAACCCGTTTCTAAAACTAGCAAAGCTGCTCCACACCAAAGGATTCCACATAACCTTTGTGAACACTGAGTTCAACCACAAACGCCTGCTAAAGTCAAGAGGCCCTAATGCCCTCAATGGTTTCCCACATTTCCACTTTGAGACCCTTCCTGATGGTCTCCCTCTCACCAACATTGATGCTACTCAAAGCATCTCAGCTTTGTGTGACTCTACAAGAAAGTATTGTTTCATCCCATTCTGCAACCTCATTTCAAAACTTAATCACACTAGGTCTTCTGTTGCTCCTCCAGTGACATGCATTATCTCAGATGGTATCATGTCCTTCACAATCAAAGCTTCTCAACAGTTTGGGTTGCCCAACATGCTTTTTTGGACTCACAGCGCTTGTGCTTTCATGAGCTTCAAAGAATGCAAGAATCTCATGGAGAGAGGCCTAACACCGCTTAAAGGTGAGGAGGGGGGGGGGGGGTGTTGTGTTGGGGGTGAAATACAATTTTACAGAATTAATTTCAATCCTCAACCTTTAAAAGTTAAAGATAATATCTAATAATAATAAAATTTTATTAAAAAAATTATATTTTTATAATTTTAATATAATAATTATATAATTTTTTTTTATAGATAATTAAACTTAGTATTAACAAAATATTTATTATTATTATTATGATCTTGTTTTTCAGATGCAAACTATTTGACAAATGGCCATTTGGACACCATCATAGACTGGATTCCTGGCATGAAGAATATTACTCTACGGGATCTTCCTGGCATCTATCGTACCACAGATCCAAATGATATACTCTTGGATTTTGTGGTAGAACAAATTGAAGAAGCTTCACAAGCTTCTGCTATTATTCTGCCCACTTTTGATGCCTTGGAGGTTGATGTGTTGAATGCACTCTCCACAATGTTTCCTAAACTCTTAACCTTAGGCCCGCTTGAGTTGCTCCTTGATCAAGCCACGGAGAGAAAATATGAATCTATTAAATGTAATTTGTGGAACGAAGAGTATGAGTGCATCAAATGGTTGGATTCACAGCAACCCAATTCGGTTCTCTATGTGAATTTTGGTAGTGTTATAGTCATGAGACACCATCAACTTGTTGAATTGGCCTGGGGACTAGCAAATAGCAAGAAAAAGTTCTTGTGGGTGATTAGGCCTGATTTAGTTGAGGATGAGGCCCCAATCTTGCCACCGGATTTTGTAGCTGAAACCGAAGACAGAGGTCTAATTGTGGGGTGGTGTCCCCAAGAGCAAGTTCTGAAGCACCCTGCAGTGGCAGGATTTTTGACTCATTGTGGTTGGAATTCCACACTTGAAAGCATAAGCAATGGGGTGCCTTTGATCTGTTGTCCATTTTTCAATGATCAAATTCTCAATTGCAGGTATATTTGTTGTGAATGGTCTTTTGGCATGGGTATGGATAGTGATAATGTTAAAAGGGATGAAATGGAGAAGCTTGTGAGGGAATTAATAGATGGTGAAAAAGGTAGGGATATGAAGAAAAATGCAATTGAGTGGAAGAAAATGGCAGAAGCAGCTACCAACACTAATGGTTCATCCTTTTTGAATTTGGAAAAACTGGTGAATGAGTTACTGCTTTCCAAGACATAGGCTACGAAAAACTATGTTGACATTACTGATTTATGCCAGGTATTTCCCAATTATGTTAATGTGGGATTCATTATTCTTTGCTTCTTTTTGTTGCTATTCATGGTTTGAACTTTGAATGCTTGGCAATTTATTTTCTACCCTCTCAAATAATTGACTAATGGTCATATTTTCTTTCTCTGTTTACAGAACATAAAACAGATTGCAATGTTTGCAATGATTATTATTTTAAGTTTGGATAAACTTTTCAATAACTGTTTATAAAAAATAAAAATAAAAATAAAGGATTATTTTTTTAGGTTAATTTATATTTTTTATTAAATTTCTCTAAAAATTAAGATACATAATATAATTTATGTTCAGAAAAAATTTATTTATATTAACTCTATTCCTTCTCATGTATAGATGCTTATTAAAAATATTATTCGTTGTCTAAATCTGTTTACCATGCGGAAGAGCTAGGATAAAAATGTCTCTTGATTGAATTTTAGAATAAAAATTAATAATAATAATTTGATAATGTGTTGATGGACCTTGGAGAATGTTCTGTTATTTGTTTTATAAATTGTATCACACATGTGCAAAGCTTCAAATAAAAATAAAATAAAAGGGATATGTGGAGCAAATATACGAGATGTTCCGGAGTCATACGTAATCATATTTTATGTGATTAACATTTTAAAACATAAAAAAAATAAAATAATTTATTAAAAAAACAAAACAATAAATCATTAGAAGACTCAAAAATTAGAGTTGTCAAATGGATCAACTCTTACTAATTTAAACCTAATTTACGTAAATAAGTTTAAAAAAATCATCATATAAAAAGTACATAGAAAACAAAAATAAAAAGTTTTAAATTTACGTAGATTAAAGTTAATTTATTATTCAACTATTTTAAAAAAAGAATATTATAATTTATTAAAAATATTTATTTAATATAATTTTTTATAAATTTATAAATAAATAAAATTACTTAAAAATAATTAAATTTATATTATGTTAAATATTTAGAATAAATTATTGTTATTAAATAAAATGTAATAATTTATTATTAAATTAATTATATATTTATCTATTTTTATTTGTATTGTTAATAATTATTAAATCAGTATTATTTTTTATTTATATTATTTTATAATTTTATTAAAGTATCAGCTATAAAATTTGTTACATTTTTATATTATTATTTTTATTTATTTATTTTTATAAAATTATTTTAAAAATATTACATGTTGAATAACTATTTTTAAAATAGTAACATTAACTAAATTTATTAATTCGTTTGTTGTTATTAAAATGTTTAAAATGATTTATTTAAATAAAATTTAATATATTAAAAAAATTAAACATAAAACTGTCGTAATAAAAATTATGAATACTTAATATTATAAAATTTATGCATATAAATAAATGAGTTACAAATTTAGTAAAAATTAATAAATATTTAAAATTTTAAATCTTATCTCATTTTAATTTATATATTTTATTTTTAAAAGAAAATAATTTAATTTTATAGATTTTTTTATTTTTTAAAATATATTTTTATATTTAAAATATAATTTTAAATAAAATAATTTAATAAAAATAATAAATAAACATGTGTATTTTTAATTAAAAAATAACATAGTAATTATTAATTACTTTTAAAAAAAGTTGAATTTAAAAAAAAAAAAAAAAGTCTAGCATAACTACTTGCTGAATTACGTGGAATGGGCTACGGCTAGTTCCTCCGTTGAGAGCTATACTCAAATCCTCGTGGATCAACTGTATGAAGTCAACAACTCATGTGACAACTTTGAAAGAAGCCACACACATAAAAGAGCGAGAGAGCGTAAAGAACAAGTCTTTTGGATCCGAAAATAAGTTACAAGAATAAAATAATAGCCGCGTGCTACACATGCCACTGCTATCAGTTACAACATTTTTTGTGGGCAATGGGGCTTGATGGTCCATTTTTCCCTATATAATACAGAACACTGATTGAATATTTTCCGTGTAGCACAAGTATAATATATGAAAGATGGATTCTGCTTCTGTCTCAGTTTCATCCAATGCCAAAACTGATAAGCCTCTTCACGTTGTCATGTTGCCATGGCTAGCTATGGGTCACGTATACCCTTGCTTGGAGCTTTCCAAGATTCTTGCACAAAAGGGTCACTATGTCACCCTCTTGTCAACCCCTACAATCTTAGATCGCTTGCCTAAACTCCCACAAAGCTTGTTACCATTTGTTAAACTAACCAAATTGCCGTTATCACCCCACATTGACAAAAATCATCTCCCGCAAGATGCAGACTCCACCATGGACATACCATCCAACAAACTCTATTACCTCAAATTGGCCTTTGATGGTCTCCAAGATTCTGTATCTGAGGTACTCAAAATCTCAAATCCTGATTGGGTTTTCTTTGACTTTGGAGCCAGCTGGTTACCACAGCTAGCCAGCACTCTCCACATTCGATGTGCCTACTTCAGTCCTTGTCCTGCATGGAGCATATGCTTCTTTGACACACCCAAACAACAACTTGGTGATGTTGCTGCTGCAACTAGAACGAACCCTGAAGATTACTATGGGCCACCCAAGTGGGTTTCTTTCCCTACAAAGATTGGCCTAAGACCCCATGAGGTTAAGAAGTTGTTTGAAGATGTCAAACTTAATGAGACAGGTGCTTCACCTGTTTTCGATCTCAACAGAGCAAATTCTGGTTGTGACATGTTTGTTATCAGAAGCTCAAGGGATCTTGAACCTGAATGGTTAGATTATCTTGCTGAGTTTTACCACAAGCCTGTGATTCCAGTGGGCTTGCTTCCACCATCAATGCAAGTAAGTGATTCTGATGACGAAAAGAATAGTCCTGATTGGCTTCAAATAAAAGTATGGTTAGACACACAACAAGGGTCATCAGTGGTGTACATTGCATTTGGAAGTGAGGTGAAACTAAGCCAAGAAAACCTCAATGAATTAGCACTTGGCATCGAGCTTTCAGGGTTGCCCTTCTTCTGGGTCTTGAGGAGCCTTCACAAGGGGTTGGTTCAGTTACCAAATGGGTTTGAGGATCGAACCAAAGAACGTGGGGTTGTTTGGACAACTTGGGCACCACAACCTAGGATCTTAGCTCATGCCTCGGTTGGTGGTTGCTTGACTCACTGTGGTTCTGGCTCAATGATAGAAAATCTCTATTTTGGACACGTTCTTGTTATGTTGCCATTCTTACTAGACCAAGCTCTGTATTCAAGAGTAATGGAAGAAAAGAAAGTGGGAATTGAGATTCCAAGGAATGAGCAAGATGGGTCGTTTACAAGAAGCTCGGTGGCCAAGGCATTGAGATTGGCAATGGTGGATGAGGAGGGAAGTGCTCTTAGGAAGAATGCTAAAGAGATGGGCAAGAAATTTAGCAACAGAGAGGTCCATAACCAATACATCGAAAATTTCATTGCTTCCCTTCACAATCATTAGAAATTTTTAAAGATGCACGAATTGGTACAGGTCTTTTTCCTTTTCTCCAATCTCACTAGCTTTTGTTTTTTAAATAGTCAACCATGGACTTGTAACAACACGTGGTAATAGTTTCAAACAAAATTAGATTCTTTAAATAAGCATATAATATAGAAATTAAACTTAGGACAATTCTATTTTCAATTTTTACACATGTAATGGTGATTAATTTGGAAGTTTGTAATTTAATGATAAATTAAAAATAAAAGTAATTTAAATGAAGGTGGATTAAGACAATAAAAACGAATTTAAAAATAAATTTGAATTTAAAATTTAAAAATAAATTTAAAATTTGAATTTAAAAATTGAAAACAAATCTAAAAAAATAAATTTAGAATCGAATTTAAATTTAAAATTTGAAAATAAATCTAAAAATAAATATGAATTTGAATTTAAAATTTAAAAACAAATCTAAAAAAATAATTGAGAACAAAAATTGAAAACGAAAATTAAAAATAGAAATTGAAACAAGAATAATTAAAACTAACACGAATTAAACTCACAAACCACATACGCAAATTAGGATTATTATACTAAATTTATCTAAAACTTAAATGCAATAGAAAACAATTGATCGATATTATATTTAAGAACAAAAATTAAATTTAATCAAATTATGCACAAATCTTAATCAAGAATTGTGAGAAGGTAAAAAGACAAACTCGAAACGTTCAATCGATCTAGCAATTCACACTTAAGACGAGATGCTTTGTGACATCAAATAATTAAGAATACAACAGGATTCGAAGAGATGTAAGTGAATGAAACGAAACAAATTTACTTTCAAAAATGGAAAAGTGTCTTTATAGAAAAAATTATTAAAAGGATAAGAAGAGTGGTCCAAAATCAACTTTGTGACCCCTATATATACTTGTTTTAAATGAAAATGAAAATAAATGGGCCAAGGTCACTGCAAGTAATGCAAAATATAAGCCCTAAATAAAAACCATAAATATAAAAGGTATGTTTTATGTCTGATCTTTAAAAATTAATAAAAAATAGGTCCGAACATCAAACAACATGATCCATATGTCTAAATTGAAATCCAGGAAATGAAAAATTCATTGCAAAAAAGAGATTTACAAAAAAAGTTATGACCAAAATAGTGGACAAATGTCAGAATAGCAAAACTATGAAATATAAGGTAAACATAACAAGTATTTATGAAAACTCAAATTTAATGTAAGAAGTGCAAAAACATGCAAAATGGAATAAATAAAAAAGGAAAAATATTTTAGAAGATGCAATAAAGTTATAAATGTAAGTGCAAAATATAAGTCAATAACTTATTAGAGTTTGTGTCAAAGCATAAGATTTTTCAACTCAAGTTCTATTTTTACTGTTATTTTTTAAAGTGAAATGAGTTAGATATTGTTTATGGTGAAAATTGCATGTTGTAAACAAATAAATTAAAAACAATTTAAAATTAAATTTTAAGGACTATTCAAACAATCCAATAAGTGAGAGATAGGTAAGAAAATTCTCTATGAATCGGGGTAGGTGACCAATTCAAAAGTAGTCTCCTCTTGTTAATGTTTCTCCAAGCCCTCATGGAAAATCTTGAGATGATGCCCATTAATCTTAAAGCTCTTTTGCAATCCCATATTATGAAATTCAACAACACCATAAGAAAAAACATTAGTAACAAGAAAAGGACTATCCCACCTAGATCTCAATTTATTGGGCATCAACTTAAGTCTAGAATTATATAAAAGGACTGTTACTAATGTGAAATTTTTTACGTCCTATTAGCTTATCATGAAAAGCTTTGGTGCACTCTTTGTAGATGTTGGAGTTCTCATATGCTTCTCTACGAATCTCTTCCAACTCTTTTAATTGAAGCTTCCTATGCGAGCCAGCTGCCCCTATATCTAGATTACATTGCTGATCGCCAATAATGCCTTAAGCTCTACTTCTATTGGTAGATGACATGCCTTGCCAAAAATAGCCCGATAATGAGACATTCCTGTGGGTGTTTTGTAGGCGGTTCTGTAAGCCCACAAAGCTCCCTTCAAGCGTAGACTCCAATCCTTTCTGTTGGGTTGGACAGTCTTCTCTAGGATTTGCTATATTTCTAGATTGGAGATCTCCACTTGTCCATTAGTCTAGGGGTGGTATGGTTTGGGAACTCTATGCATAACCCCAAACTTCCGAAGTAAGATAGCCATTATGCGATTGCAAAAGTGTGATCCCTGGTCACTAATTGTTGCTCTAGAAAATTCAAACTTGTAAAAAATATGTAACTTCACAAAATCTATAACAATACGAGAATCATCAGTACGAGTGGCTTTTGCCTTCACCCATTTGGAGACATAGTCCACAGCTAAGAAAATATAGGTATAGCTAAATGAAACAGGAAAGAGACCCATAAGATCTATACCCCATACATGAAACACCTCACAGAAAAGGAGCAGTAGTTGGGGCATTTCATTCTGACACAATATGTTCCTAGTCCTTTAGCATCGCTCGCATGTCTTACAAAAGTTGTGTGCATTCTAGAACATGGTAGGCTAATAATTCTGTGGATACAAGTGGATAGGCTAATTCCTAGAATGTCTATAAAAGTCCACCCAATTGCTTGCTTGTGGACTGCTAAAGTTTGCAATAACTTCTCCTCTTGTGCAGCTCCAAATCTGCTGAAATGATCACTAGCAACTTGTCATCAGCTTCTAAAATTGCATACTTCAAATGCTTGGGCAGAGGCTTCAGTTCGGGTGTATGTGGCTGCATAATAGAAGGAAGTGTCCTGGTAGGGAAATCTAATTCTGTAGCATGTATCTGAGCAGGTTCAAGGGTATGTGTACTTGTTGTAATCAAGCTAGAACTTTCCAAACCTACTGCTACATTACATGAAACATCATCAGCTATTAAATATGCATATATTTCAGCACAAACTTTACACAAATCTCCTATAGTGCATGTATAACTAGAAATATCAGAAAAATCAGTATAAAACTCCTCAGTTAAAACATTAACAATATCTATATGAAATGTACTATGTAGCTCTGATAGATGCTTCATAGCCTCAAAGATGTTGAACTGCACAACATCGTCTCCAAACTCCATGGATAGAATTCCTGAATGCACATAAATCTTTGTTCTCGTTGATTTCAGGAAAAGTCTTTCAAGGATCAGTGTAGGAATGCTGGACTCTTCTGCCATATCCAGAATGTAGAAATCAGCAGGTAATATAAACTTATCCACTGTCACTAGCACATCTTCTACTACTTTAACAGGGAATGCAGTACTCCTATTTGCCAATTAAATGACTACACTAGTTTCCTTCAGAGGGCCGAGGCTCAGAGACCTATAGATTGATGTAGGCATAACATTTATGGAAGTACCAAGATCAAGTAATGCACTACTAAAGGTGTAATTCCCAATAGTACAGGGGACGGTAAAAGTGCTAGGATCCTTGCATTTTTGCGACAGATTAGACTGTATGAGGGCTGACACATTTCTCCCCATGCTGACTCTCTTATCCCTTTTTAGTTTCCTCTTGTTAGTGCACAATTCTTTAAGGAACTTTACATATTTTGGAATTTGTTTTATTGCATCCAACAGTGGAATTTCACTTCTATTTTTATAAATGTCTCAAAAAGCTCCTTATCAAAGTCTGTTGGTGGCCTTGGCTTGACCACTCTATTTGGAAAAGGGAGAGGTAGTTTTTGCACAATTTTTGAACTGCTAGGGGCAGCTTGTTGCTCTGTGTTTTGCTGCTTCTCTGTCTCCACATCATTTTGTGCCTCTTTATCTATTTGGTTGTCTAATAGCTCGTTCCCACTCCTCAATATTATGACACTCACGTTTCTGGGATTAAACTTTGGTTGAGAAGGAAGTTGTCCAGAATCTTAAGACTTGAACTGGTTTACAATGGTAGCAAGTTGGGCAATCTGTGTCTACAGGTCTTAAATGGAGGCATTGATATTCTGTTGGAATTGTAGATTGCTCTTGACTATTTGCTTACCAATCCCTCCAATGAAGGCTCATAATTTTGCTGTGTTTGTTGCTGCCTCATTGGGGTGGTTTATAGCCATTACCTGCTTGGCTAGTCTGTTGTTGCTCCTGCTACTGCTCAAAGGTACCATATCTTATATTTGGATGATCATTGAAGGCAAGATTATGAGATTGGTACTGGAATCTGTGCAACTGTTGCTGTCTCTAAGGTTGTTGGAAATTCCAAGCTCTGTATTGGTCTTGTCTTCTACTAAAAACTCCACGGACAGAAGCTTGTTGGCTACCACCATGCAGCAAAGGACAACAATCTGAGGTGTGCTCTATAGAGGAACAAATATTATAGTCTCTGGTCACCCCTTCCTTGTGGAACAGTTTGTTTCGTAATAGCTAGCTGTCTCACAAAAGTAGTGAGCTCCTTAATTCTGCTCTCAAGTCTGTTGGAATTTGCTGCTATATGGGTTGGTTATTGCACATTATGCACCTCTCTCACTGGCACCATGGCTCTTGTATTAAACTGCTGGGAGTTCTTTGCCATGTTGTCAATTAGTGCTCTGGCTGCAGATGGTGTCTTGTCCATGAGAGCTCCACCGCTTGCTGCATCAAGCATACTCCTCACCATTGGAACAAGGCCTTTATAGAAGTACTAAATAAGCAGTTGGTCACTGATCTGATGGTGTGGACAGGTTGCGCATAGCTTTGTGAATCTCTCCCAGTATTTTTAGAGGCTCTCTTCGTTGAACTGTCTAATGTCAATGATCTTTTTTCTGATTGTGGCTGCTATGGAAGCATGGAAGAACTTTTCCAGAAACATTCTCTTCATGTCTATTCAGTAAGTGACAGACCCTGACTGCAGGTATTATAGACAGTCTTTTGCTGCTCCATCTAGGGAGAATAGAAAGGCCTTCAGCTTAATGTGGTCTTCTGAAATTCCTTGAGGCCTAATTGTTGAACAGATTATATGAAATTCCTTTAAATGCTTGTGAGGGTCCTTACCTGCACTACCA